ACTATATATCGAATGCCCTCTGGTCCTCCATCGAGTGCCAGCCAGTATGAGTACCACTACTGCTGACTATATATCGAATGCCTCGGGTCCTACATCGAGTGCCAGCCAGTAGGAGTAATCCACTACTGCCGGGTAAAATACCGAATGCCCCTCGGGCTTCTATCGGTGCCCCAAGTCAGTAGGAGTAAATCCTCAAGGGAGATTTCCCAATGGGTACATTCTATAGCTACGGGGATAACCGTTCGACGGCCAGTACAGCTCACATCGAAGGCTACATGTTCCACATGTATACTTTGATCATACCATAATTAAAACAGTAATAACATTTAAGGCATAGCAATTTTAGAATAACAACCCACCTGGTAACTCGGTAGAGAAGTAACACAAAATCGAGGGAAAAAGGTAGGCCGAGAACACAGCTCGTCAAACACCTACATTACACAAAATAGTCCTACGAAAAAGTATCCAACACACGAACACTTATAACCACACTCATGCGATATAACTCAACCACATAGTTCATAATAACATGTTTGCACAATGAACTCGCATAGTCTCAGTATTTCCAATAACAGGAGTTACAAGTATGCTATTCAGGTGACTCCAAAACCAATGAGTAGCTAACACATATATCCACAACTTTCATGTTGATCACTTAAGCCAAAGATAGCTTTACAGTCGAGTTTAAGCATAAAACACGTAGGCCAAGCAATCTGCCAACATAACTATTTATCAATTTACAGCACTTCACTAAAACAACAATAACTCAAGTTACAGAACTCCTAATCATACAAACTCAAAACCTACAAAAACTAAACAAGGAAAACTACAAGATTCAAGAAGAGTATTTTTACTAATAATAACGTTAAAGGCCTCATTTCAGAACATGCATTCCAATCATATACACATGTAACGCCCCACTTTATTTTAAAGGATTTATCGAATTTATTTAATAAAAATCACAATAAATTTTTCGCAAACTTTAATTTAATTAAATACTCAGTAGGCGCTACTCAAATTTACCATAAGCCTTTAACCAAAAATGCAAACGTATCAATAAAGACAACATGCACGAATAATAAATCATAAACCAAACTGGCATTCATTAAGTTCCAAATCATAAAGATAATTCACAATTCCAAGTTCAAAACGACACAGTCATAATATCTTAACATAAATGAGCGGAAGCAAATAAATAAGCGATAAATAAAAGCATGACCACCACCCGTCTTGTCTCGTCACCCGCCGACTGCTTAACCTGCATCAGTTACGAGCAGGTGGGAGTGAGTACAGTTAACTATCGTACTCACACTATGCATATGAATAACATAATAATGGTATGGTCGCAGCATGAACATAAACAATAAAATCATGTCACATCTCTAGCCACATCAATGACTATAGTCTCATCAAAGACTCACTCATGTACATCTATGCTCATCAAAGCTAAGCCATGCCATATCAGTGAAACATGGGAGTGCGTGCCACATCAATGACACGGCCTTCTCATAGGTCTTAATGAGATTTACCTCACTGGGTAACCGTATCTTATCATACGGGGACAACCGTATCGATGGCCATCAAGCTCACATCGATAGGCTACATGTTCATTTTCATACATAGATCACACCAAACTTTTATCATAAATAAATCACACATATGCATAGATAATTTTTGAATAACCCACCTGGATTCCGGATTGATAATAACTCAAAGCAATTGGTAGTAGGTCGAGGCTGGACTCCTCAATTACCTACATTATGTCAAGATCCTACAATGAATATCTATCTTGACTTTAATCGAAAATCACAAAAGCAGACCTAGTCGAACTTGTTTCGACTAAGTAGTTCGTGAAGTCCTGTGGAATTGGAACACTAAAACTCAGCTCTTAACTTGATCAAAACACATACACCAGATCATATAAATCCATCTGAGGATTGACCAAGTCAAACTCACATAAAAACTAAAAGCAAGTCGATTCCCAAAATTTCATAAAAAATCATGTTCGGAAATAGAAATCATTTAATCGCATGAAAATAGATGGCCAAGCTACCCTACGAATTAAGCTCTGAAAATTTACCCAAAATTTCATCTTCCAGCAACATGTAAAACCACAAAGTTTCAGCTTTAAACTCAAAATACCCTATTTTATAAAATTCGAACAGTAATTCAGCAAAAAGGGCACATTAATTCATACTCAGATCTAATGAATGAAACTGAACCTGAAAATTTTACATAGCAACATACAGTATGCCAAAGTCCACTTATAAAAATTTCAGCCTTAAATGATATCTGCTGCTATTTTTAAAAATTCAAACGAGCAACAACAGTTTATCGAATTTAAACCCAAAATGAAACCAAACGGACTCTAAAAATTCCCATATTTTACAAACATGATCAAACACCTAAAATATGACTCTCAGTAAAAGTTCAGAATTTTCCATGCAGTAACCGATTTTTAAAAATTCAAACAATGTTTCTGCAGATTTGATAAATAAAATATTTACCACATCAAATCAACTCCAAATATTCTAAAAATTTAACACAGCATATAAACACATCAGAGGCACAACATATCAAAATTTCAGCTCATTTGAATCACGAACAAATTTATTAAGCATTAAACACTATTCTGATCAGAATTCACTTTAATTATTAAAAATAACTACAGGCCTCTAAAAATTATGAAATTTTTACACGAGGCTGGAAATGAACAGATAACATATCCCTCAAAATTTCAAGTCATTTCGAACATTGTGCGATTTTTAATAATTCAATCACTAAAACAGCGACACATAAGCTCGACAATCTAACAATTAATTCATAACACGAAATTTCTCGTCCGAGGCCTTCCCATAAGGCCAAGGACTCGACTTTGTTCCAATATCCACTGACTTACACGAGTTTCGAGGCCTCGTTCGATTTCTCATAATAGAAGAGATCCCGAACAACACGATTACACATAAAATCACGACTTCACGAAATATCACATTGATCACATTCGCACAATATACACATCTCGCATAACAAATCGCAAATCAAACATATACGTAAATAACATAAACGATAATCACGTAAAATAAACGGGAAGTCGAGACTCGATACCATTCTCGAGAAACGAGCGAAAAGGGTTCGAACGGGCTCGACGGTGAACTTCGTCTCGCCGAGAAAAGAGAGCTACTCGCCGCTGAGGAGAAAGAGGGTCATCGGCTTGCAGCGGCTCGGGAGGCGTTGCTGCTCACATCGGAAGAGGTGCTGCGGTGAGGAGAGGCCGCCGGAATTTGCTGGTTTTCAGAGAAGGAGCGGCGTTGGAGGAGGGCTCGCCGGAAGAGAAGTCTCGTCAGCTTGCAGGCAGAGGGCTTGCAGGCGCTGGTCGTGGAGGACTCGCCGGAGGGAGGGCCTGTGCGCGGCGGAGGGGGCTTGCAGGTCGCCGGAGGTGCTGAGGGAGAGGGGCTTCAATCGCGAGAGGGGAAAGGAGATTGATGGTGACGAGAGAATTTTGACGAGAGAGAGGGTTGATGATGAAGGTGCGATCGATGAAGGGAAGAAAAATCTGATGAGGGAAAAATAAAAGCTGCGCTAGGTTAAAAGAATCTCATCACACGCGTAAAAGAAAGATGGGCCGGGTCGCGCAGGTTCAAGCCAGACGGATTCGGGTCGCATACTAAATGGGCCAAGGGTTTGAAAGATTTAAGTCGTAGGTTCGATCCAATGCATACAGTTCTCTCGGGCTCAATCTCTCGGGCTCGATAAATCGGTTGATTTAGCCAATATAAAATGGCTCGGTTCGCACGATATTTTATAACAAAAATTCGGCTATTATAATAAAATATATTTCACACATTATTTATAATAATAATACACATTAAACATTTATTTCACAATTAGACATTTAAATAAAATAATAATAACAATAATAAAAATAATAATAATAATAATGACAATAATATAATATTAATAACAAACAATAGGTAATAATAATATTAATAAATAATAATAAATAATCCTAAAATTATCCATAAATAAACGGGGCGCTACAACACAGCCACTGTTTTAAAAATTCTGGGCATAACCCCAACTTGGAAATATCATATAAAATCAACCAAAACTCCAAATATAATGATTTCAACTCCCACTAAAAGCTTATAATATGTACTACAAGTTTCATGATGATTACATCTTTAAATTGCCACATTAGGATCATCAAAAACAGCCCAACATCATGATCCACTAATTTGCCCGATATTACAAAAACTGCATGCATGCACAACTAAAAAAATTTGTAATAAATTCAAATCAACTCCGAATTTCGAAATTCCAAATCTCACCGAACCCTAACTCAAAATACTACAATTCTCATGATGAACACTTAACCAGGAAACAGCTACTTCATTATGAAAAACTGAGCACAACCAGCAGCTTTAACTTGAAGTTTTTAAATCAATTTTCAACCCAAATCATACACTCATGAACATAGCATCGACAAGACACATATAATCACTACATATATCTCAAATGCGCGCATACAAAACATAAGAAGGTCAGCCCTAACACGATTTTACCACAAGTTCACATGATATCACATGATTGGAACATAATTCACGATAAATCAATTAATACCTAACCCAGCATAAATACTTCACAAGGGCTACAACGTAACAAATAATCGAATTCATATTCCTCTTCATTATTCAACTAATATTAAGCATGCCATTAGAACTTAACCGAACCTAGGTAAATCCCAGCTCATAATTTCAGCATCATAAGAACAAATATTAATTTCGAGGCCACAGCAAATTTCAAACATATCAAGGCAACAGTTTGTATTTCATGCTCAAATTCTAATAGTCTAATCATTTTTTATAAATGAACATTAAACACAAATTATCATAAACAACACCCTTGTACTTGCACTAACTGAATACAAATCAGCAGCCATAATTACAACTCAATAAAGTAAGCCCCAACACAACTCAACTAAAAGATTCAAGCATTCTGCTATGGCCAAAAAAAAGGAAAAAGGTACGGCCAATGTATCTCTTTCGATGATTTCACGGTCCGACAATAGCTCGTGAAAAAGACGAACAGAGGACGATGGCTCAGCCCCACCAAAGTGCTCGTCGTTGCTGCTCGTGAGTCATCGGCTGCCCGCTGCCGGACGATGAGCTGCTGCTACTCGGAAAAGAACCCGACGGGTCTGGGCACGTTACTGTTCATGGTTCGAGGTGGCTAAACGAGCACGAACAGGGGCTCGTCTCAGCCTGCGGCTGTTGCTCGAGGGTCTGCTACTCGAGGACACGCGGCTGAAGCTCCTCGACAGGGTGCTGCTGCGAATGATGGCTGGTCACGGCCCGTCGCTGGTCGAGGGTCGCTGGCGATGGTTGCCTTTGGTTGAAGGTCAGAGGTCGTTTCAGCCGTTGTCGGAAGACGGGGCAAAACAAAGCTCGGTAGTCGAGAGCTCGAAATCGCTGGACAATGGTCGGGGCTCGCAAACAGTCGCGGCCCGACGGGAATTGAGGCCCGAAGTTGCTGGAGGCCTGGCCTCGTCGGACGTTGGTCCCGTCGCTCGCGGTGGTTGTAGGCCTGTGGCGGAGCGGACTTCTGCGAATTGGAGGAACCATCGGGTTGCTGCTTGAAATCATCGACGGTCGTCTTTCCTTGGTGATGACGAAGGATGGACCACCGTTCTCGATGGGCTGCCATGGTGAATTGCCGGTGAAGGCGGCTACAGGCGGATTGCGAGGGTCAAAGGACTCGCTAGCGGCCTGCTACAGAAGGGAGTTTCCTGAGGAGATAACGGGATCGAGGCTCGACGTCGGTGGTTGGTGGCTCGCCGCTGGAAGCTCGCTGGCCGAAGGAATTCTCTGAGGGAGGTGGGTTTGCTGCTCAATCGAGAGGAGATGAGGTGAGGGTATGTGGGCTTCGATCGATTTTAAAGGGGATGGACTAAAATCTGTTGCAACTGCTCGAAACAATTGGGGTGAACTTCTCCCGTCGATGCTGCAGATTCGCGACAGAGAGAGAGAGATACGGGGAGATTTGGGAAAGAACCGTTCAAAAATTTTGCACGAGGAGATAGAGACAATGGGTCAAAATTAGTTCTTATGGGCTGGAAATTATATCTTCACTTGGGCCAAAGAGTGGATTCATCGGATCTAGATTCCAGCTCTTAATGCGGGCTGAATAAATTTCCAATAAATCGGCCAATCGAACTTTATAATTTCAAGGTTCAAATAAAATACCAAAGAAATGGGTCCAAACGGATTGAAGCAACTAAAACGAGAGTTCGCCAATCGGCTCAGTCAGCTCTTGAAGGGATCGTGAAGGAGTGTGAAACCAAAATACCCAACAAGCATTAGCTCTCCCTGAAGGGGAGGAGATCCAGCCGCACCTTCCAGTACGGCTACCTTGATCAATTTACGCGATTAAACCGAAAAATTGCGAAACAAATTTAAAATTTATTTCAAATAAGCTTTAAATAATTCTAATACACACAATGAATATAGAAACATATAATAATCACATATATTAGTCACATAACAATTTATATCAAGTAGACGAATAAGAGGAGCAAATTTATATCACAACCGAAAATTAAATAAAATAAGGCTATAATATAAAAATCCAGTAATTCTAACAAACAAACGGGGCACTACAATCTATCCTCCTTAAAATATTTCCGTCCTCGGAAATGCGAAAGAACACACATCGAAAAGGAAACGATAGACTCGCACAGGAATTCCCAATCACGAGGTCCGACATAGTTCTCTGGAACTCGATTCTGTTCCCATGAGTCATATCGCCCTATACTCGAAAGGCATGTACTCACATACAGGAACCAATCTGACTCGCCCCATGCTCATATGTTTACCTTCTTACCGGGGAGGGTGATCAGTCCTACCCAAGCTCAGGCGTACATCTTCTTGCAAGGGACCCAGTCCGGCTTGGCCTATACCAATGGATATCAACAATTCGCGGCGTACCTAACAACACACAAGACCCCAACCGGTCGTTCGGTGTATTGCTACCGTACTCTTATTGTCTCACCATCAAGGTGGATACGTGACGCCAACCTTCAGTCTCGTGTCCGAGTCACACTGATAACTTGCTCCCGATTTATCTCAAACCGTGCGTCTCCATCCGAGACCACAACACAGTACCACATAAATAAAACACGACAGCGACAAGCTCACATTCCCATGAAGTCAACTCCACGAGTCGAACGCAACCCTTATGCACAAACCCAAGGCTTGACCCAAAGCAACACGACGTTCCCAATTTGCCGACTCGAGACACTCTCAAGTAAAGCATAGGGACTCATCGACTACACTCCTTAATCAGAAATCATCGATTAAGAATTTATACACATTTAGTGGAACTTGGGGCTCTCGGTTCAAGGTTCGGGGTAATATAAATAGCTCAGCAAAAACTGGTCGATCAACGAAATGAATCGAAGGTTCGGGGTTAGTGTACTGTCACCCAAGAGGCGGCACGCTCGCTGACGCTGCATAAGCGGGGTGCTGGGATACGTGCCTACCCACCTACTCGGAGACTAGCTGTAAGGTCGAGGCTTGGCCGCACACGCTGGCCTGGGGAGTTTGTGCGTTTGGTGATGGCGGCTGCAGTTCGCATGCAAGTCAACGGTCGGCCGCGCGCAAGCCTCCTGTCTCTCAGCACGGTCGTGCGTGCTCGGCCACCACTTCGCGTGGCTACACCCAGCCAGGGTCGGGGTTTGGTCCAGGTTTTCACAAGAACTTACAATTCAAGGCTACCAAAAAGGAATGGTCTTACCAAATTTCGAAAATTTTGGGGTCGACAAAACAATATATATTTCAGGCGTTTCTCAATTTCAAAAGTTTCAAAAAGTCTCAAAATAGCAAAGTGCAAGTTCGAGTTCCAAGTCCACCAACTTTCTAAAACAACAAAACGCAGTACGCCCCAGATCTAACGATGTGCGAAATCTCAAAAGAACTCTCATGACGATTCTCCCTAAGTTAGCGGCTTCTGCCGAGACATTAAATAGATAGCTCGCCTCGGCTCTTCCGACTAACAGCGTTGGCCGACACGTCAGCTCTTTCTCGGGTAGCTAATCGTGTCAGCAGTCCTAAATGAGCGCAACTCATCTTTCACTTCCCAATCTTCACACTTTGGAACTTGAACGCGAAGTTCCTCCTGGGATTCCGAAAGGAGGAAAAGAACAAAAAATTTTTTTACGACGAACAAAATTTAGGATAATGATGGTACTGCTACACGATGTGCTTGTTCCAGCCTCGACTATCCTTCTTAATAGATTTCTGCATAATCCTTTAAGGTGGAAAAGCAATCGATCTTCCTATCGAACCGATTTGTGCCGGCTTCATCTCCTGTGTGTTTATCTCGATGTCGAGCGTGAATAATAATTGTCCCCCTCGAGGTTAGGTTATTCACAAAAGTGGTGCCCTCGAGTCTTCGTGATATTTTAGGGATGGCATTCGAACGAAACTCACATATTTCACAAGCGAATAAAGATAAGCAGAAACAAAAAGATGCTTAATCTCACTTGCAATCAGGTTTTTCAAAACAAAGTCAGTTCCCAACATAGATAAACCAGAATTAGCTAAACCTCGAGAGAAGCAAATTTTTAAAGTTGGGAGGCTTAAAATAGTTTACACAGCGAATCAAAAATAGGGGAAGATTAAACGAAATTCTCAAAATACAAAATTTGGTTACCAAAAAGAAACCTCCATCATACTTCAAAATTGTTGTCATGTGAATGGAAAAAAGTTTGCAAGAGTATGCAAGAAGACAAGAATTTAAGAAAGGCAGCACGACTGCTTCGTCTTCACGAGTCCACGATTCACTGTATTCATCATCGGTTCAAGCTGCTCCCTTCGTTTAAGCCTTCTCCTTTCGAGATGGCTCATGAATGGTCCTCATCTGAGGACACCAAAAATACATCGAGAGGACTGTTATACACAGAACACAACTCGATAACATTATATCGAATTTCAAAACAAACAAAACCTCAGGTTAGAACTTAACTCTATATCGCTAGAGTTCAAGTTCATACAGCTAAGGTTCGCCACTCGCCACTCATCTAGAGTTCCATAACGTTTAAAACTAGGAGGATAAATTCCTAAGCGCCGATTTACATCTCATAATATCATAATACTTCACATAAGCAATTTAATATTACTCAAGTATTCATACCTGAGTTGGCGCGGCACGACGGAAGCGAGTGGTCATAACTTACATCACATATTTTCACAGAGTTCACATAATTCAAGTATACCAGTCTACAGAAACGCAGACTGGCTCTGATACCAAACTGTAACGCCCCACTTTTATTTGCCGAAATTCCGAAAAAAGTTTTCAAATTTATTTCAAAACACCTGAGGCGCTACTCATTTATTTCAAAGTCAACTTCAATACTTAACCAACTTCTCGACACTCATTCAAATATCAAACTCAATCATCAACAATATTACTAATTCCCAAAACGGGTTTTTCCAAAATTCATAAATCACCCAAACTGGGTTTCAATAATATTCATAAATTCTAAGAAGCATCTCCTTAACATTATTCAAGTCATAAAATCCAAAATTCATAAAAGCAATAATACTCCAAGTTTATAGTCATAAAATCTAGAATTCATAAATGCGGAAGCATAACAATAATTAACCGGTCTTATGGACCGACCACCCCTCGCTCTACTCCGCCATCGTGCCTGCCTCGCTTAACCTGAAACGTGAATTTCAAGTGGGGATGAGCACAGTAGAAAAAGTAGTGCTCACCACTATACAGTAAACATTAATAAAACAAATCAACAGTATGATCTCAGCATGAATAAGAATCAATTTAATATCCCAACCTCCTGTCATCATAATATCGTCATATGATCGTCATAATATCGTCATAAGATCGTCATAATATCATCATAAGATCAAGACTCGTGTGCACACCTACGCATAGACTACTGCTGACTATATATCGAATGCCCTCCGGTCCTACATCGAGTGTCAGCCAGTAGGAGTAAACCACTACTGCTGACTATATATCGAATGCCCTCTGGTCCTACATCGAGTGCCAGCCAGTATGAGTACCACTACTGCTGACTATATATCGAATGCCTCGGGTCCTACATCGAGTGCCAGCCAGTAGGAGTAATCCACTACTGCCGGGTAAAATACCGAATGCCCCTCGGGCTTCTATCGGTGCCCCAAGTCAGTAGGAGTAAATCCTCAAGGGAGATTTCCCAATGGGTACATTTTATAGCTACGGGGATAACCGTTCGACGGCCAGTACAGCTCACATCGAAGGCTACATGTTCCACATGTATACTTTGATCATACCATAATTAAAACAGTAATAACATTTAAAGCATAGCAATTTTAGAATAACAACCCACCTGGTAACTCGGTAGAGAAGTAACACAAAATCGAGGGAAAAAGGTAGGCCGAGAACACAGCTCGTCAAACACCTACATTACACAAAATAGTCCTACGAAAAACTATCCAACACACGAACACTTATAACCACACTCATGCGATATAACTCAACCACATAGTTCATAATAACATGTTTGCACAACGAACTCGCATAGTCTCAGTATTTCCAATAACAGGAGTTACAAGTATGCTATTCAGGTGACTCCAAAACCAATGAGTAGCTAACACATATATCCACAACTTTCATGTTGATCACTTAAGCCAAAGATAGCTTTACAGTCGAGTTTAAGCATAAAACACGTAGGCCAAGCAATCTGCCAACATAACTATTTATCAATTTACAGCACTTCACTAAAACAACAATAACTCAAGTTACAGAACTCCTAATCATACAAACTCAAAACCTACAAAAACTAAACAAGGAAAAATACAAGATTCAAGAAGAGTATTTTTACTAATAATAACGTTAAAGGCCTCATTTCAGAACATGCATTCCAATCATATACACAGCCACTGTTTTAAAAATTCTGGGCATAACCCCAACTTGAAAATATCATATAAAATCAACCAAAACTCCAAATATAATGATTTCAACTCCCAGTGAAAGCTTATAATATGTACTACAAGTTTCATGATGATTACATCTTTAAATTGCTACATTAGGATCATCAAAAACAGCCCAACATCATGATCCACTAATCTGCCCGATATTACAAAAACTGCATGCATGTACAACTAAAAAAATTTGTAATAAATTCAAATCAACTCCGAATTTCGAAATTCCAAATCTCACAGAACCCTAACTCAAAATACTACAATTCTCATGATGAACACTTAACCAGGAAACAGCTACTTCATTATGAAAAACTGAGCACTCATGAACATAGCATCGACAAGACACATATAATCACTACATATATCTCAAATACGCGCATACAAAACATAAGAAGGTCAGCCCTAACACGATTTTACCACAAGTTCACATGATATCACATGATTGGAACATAATTCACGATAAATCAATTAATACCTAACCCTGCATAAACACTTCACAAGGGCTACAACGTAACAAATAATCGAATTCATATTCCTCTTCATTATTCAACTAATATTAAGCATGCCATTAGAACTTAACCGAACCTAGGTAAATCCCAGCTCATAATTTCAGCATCATAAGAACAAACATTAATTTCGAGGCCACAGCAAATTTCAAACATATCAAGGCAACAGTTTGTATTTCATGCTCAAATTCTAATAGTCTAATCATTTTTTATAAATGAACATTAAACACAAATTATCATAAACAACACCCTTGCACTTGCACTAACTGAATACAAATCAGCAGCCATAATTACAACTCAATAAAGTAAGCCCCAACACAACTCAACTAAAAGATTCAAGCATTCTGCTATGGCCAAAAAAACAGGAAAAAGGTACAGCCAATATATATCTCTTTTGATGATTTCACGGTCCGACAATAGCTCGTGAAAAAGACGAACAGAGGACGATGGCTCAGCCCCACCAAAGTGCTCGTCGTTGCTGCTCGTGAGTCATCGGCTGCCCGCTGCCGGACGGCGAGCTGCTGCTACTCGGAAAAGAACCCGACGGGTCTCGGCACGTTACTGTTCATGGTTCGAGGTGGCTAAACGAGCACGAACAGGGGCTCGTCTCAGCCTGCGGCTGTTGCTCGAGGGTCTGCTACTCGAGGACACGCGGCTGAAGCTCCTCGACAGGGTGCTGCTGCGAATGATGGCTGGTCACGGCCCGTCGCTGGTCGAGGGTCGCTGGCGATGGTTGCCTTTGGTTGAAGGTCAGAGGTCGTTTCAGCCGTTGTCGGAAGACGGGGCTAAACAAAGCTCGGTAGTCGAGAGCTCGAAATCGCTGGACAATGGTTGGGGCTCGCAAACAGTCGCGGCCCGACGGGAATTGAGGCCCGAAGTTGCTGGAGGCCTGGCCTCGTCGGACGTTGGTCCCGTCGCTCGCGGTGGTTGTAGGCCTGTGGCGGAGCGGACTTCTGCGAATTGGAGGAACCATCGGGTTGCTGCTTGAAATCATCGACGGTCGTCTTTGGTGATGACGAAGGATGGACCACCGTTCTCGATGGGCTGCCATGGTGAATTGCCGGTGAAGGCGGCTACAGGCGGATTGCGAGGGTCAAAGGACTCGCTAGCGGCCTGCTACAGAAGGGAGTTTCCCGAGGAGATAACGGGATCGAGGCTCGACGTCGGTGGTTGGTGGCTCGCCGCTGGAAGCTCGCTGGCCGAAGGAATTCTCTGAGGGAGGTGGGTTTGCTGCTCAATCGAGAGGAGATGAGGTGAGGGTATGTGGGCTTCGATCGATTTTAAAGGGGATGGACTAAAATCTGTTGCAACTGCTCGAAACAATTGGGGTGAACTTCTCCCGTCGATGCTGCAGATTCGCGAGAGAGAGAGAGAGATACGGGGAGATTTGGGAAAGAACCGTTCAACAATTTTGCACGAGGAGATAGAGACAATGGGTCAAAATTAGTTCTTATGGGCTGGAAATTATATCTTCACTTGGGCCAAAGAGTGGATTCATTGGATCTAGATTCCAGCTCTTAATGCGGGCTGAATAAATTTCCAATAAATCGGCCAATCGAACTTTATAATTTCAAGGTTCAAATAAAATACCAAAGAAATGGGTCCAAACGGATTAAAATCAATTTACGCGATTAAACCGAAAATTTGCGAAACAAATTTAAAATTTATTTCAAATAAGCTTTAAATAATTCTAATACACACAATGAATATAGAAACATATAATAATCACATATATTAGTCACATAACAATTTATATCAAGTAGACGAATAAGAGGAGCAAATTTATATCACAACCGAAAATTAAATAAAATAAGGCTATAATATAAAAATCCAGTAATTCTAACAAACAAACGGGGCGCTACACTCAATGTCACTCGCGTCAGTGTGGACCTCGAACAAGACGTTGAACTTCGGCATCGCAAGCACAGGTGTGGTGGTCATGGCACCCATCAATTTCTCGAACGCTGCCTCGGTCCACTTAAATCCTTCCTTCTTAGTCTTCTCGGTCAGCGGCTTAGCAATGGTCCCATAGTCCTTCACGAACTTTCGGTTGTACCCGGTCAATCCCAAGAACCCGCGCAATTTTGTTAGGCTCGTTGGCTTAGACCAGTCGACCATGGCCTCGATTTTCCTTGGGTCAACTTTCACGCCCTCATGCGAGATAAAGTGGTCGAGGTACTCGACCCTTTCTTGCCCAAAGGAGCACTTCGAGGTTTGATGTGGAACGAGTTTTGCGCCAATATCTTCAAGACCACACGTAGATGCTCGATGTGCTCCGGCCATGTCCTCGAGTAGATTAAGATGTCATCGAAGAATACTAGCACAAATTTGCACGAGTACTCTTGAAATATCGAGTTCATAGCAAATTAGAAAGTGGAGGGTGCGTTGCAAAGTTCGAAGGGCATTACCAAGTACTCGTAGTGCCCTTGTTGCGTACGGAAGGCCCTTTTTGGGATGTCCGACTTGGCCACCCGGATCTGATGGTAACCGGCCCTCAAGTCCAACTTAGAAAAGTAGCGCGAGCCTCCCAACTCATCCAACATATCATCAATGCTTGTTATGGGAAACCGAACCATCATGGTAGCGGCATTCAAGGCGCGGTAGTCTGTGCAAAAGCGCCACGTGCCGTCCTTCTTCATGTCGAGTAGTACCGGCGATAAGAACGGGCTCGTGCTGTGCTGAATTAGCCCGGACTCTAGCATCTCGCCAACTTGCTTCTCGATCTCGGCTTTTTAGAAATGTGCGTATCAGTATGGGTGGACGTGCACGGCTCAACCCTCTTCGACCAGTGGGATGCAGTGGCCGTATGCTCTCCTCGGCGGCAGCCCCTTTGGCTCGGCGAGCACCTCGCCGAACTCTTCGAGTAAGTCTTGGATTTCCCTATCATGCCGGGGTGAGTCTCCGGGTCACTTCCTTTCTTCCTCGACTATGAAGGCAAAGACTTGGCTCCCACTCATAACACCCTCACGGTATGGTAGTCACGTTGCTGAGCCCTTCTAACCATTGGACTCCAAGAATGACGTCGGGTCCTACCAAGGGTAGAGCGTATAAGTCGGTATGATTCAGAACATCGAAGGCGTTACCCATTAGCGACCCGAACATCGAACGGCTCGACCTTAGTGCGACGACCCATTATCCACTAGCACCACAACGTGTTGATTGCCGACTCTTGCGGGCATTCGCATGGTCCGGGGCCCCTTGGTGCCGGCCATGGCATGGACCGAAATCTCTGCCTCATCACCGCCTCTCTCAGGATCGACTGCTTTCGTGTCGGGCTCGTCTACCTCAGGCTCGTCTTCTTCAGAGTCAACCACTTGGATCAAATAAGTTTGTTTGCACCTGTGGCCCGGTGTGAACTTCTCCTCGCACTTAAAACACAGACCCTTCTCTCGCCTCATTCGCATATCCTCGAAGGATAAGTTCCTCAACTCCGGTGGTCGCGGCCTGAAGTTTTTAGGCGGTCCGCTACTCGTTCCTCGGGTGAGATTAGGTGCGCTGGTCATCGTTCGTTGCGGCTCGGTGAAACGGACGTTGTTGCGCTCGATCGTTCGCGTCGCAGCTAGATGATCGTCTCGCCGGAGCGCAACCTCCATGGCTTCACGCATCGATGCGGGCCTCTCCAATCGTACCTCCGCGGCCAGATCAAACTTCAGTCCTCCTACAAACGCCCCGACAAGCGCTTCTTTGGGCCATCCGCGCACACGGCAAGCTATGCGCCTCGAACTCACGCTGGTAGTCGCGTAGGCTCTTCGTCTGTTTGATATGCACGAGCGCCTCGTCATAGTTGTGGTAGTCCGATGCACCAAATCTCATGATGAGCTCTTTCTCAAAATTTTCCCACCTGATTTGCTCATCGCGATTTTGATAGATACTCGAGAGCCACTGCCAACAAACATTAGCCTCGCCGTCAAGATAGTAAGCCGCGTACCTTACCCACTCGGCCCGTGCGATCTCATTGAGGTTGAAGTATTGCACGGCCCGGTTTAGCCACGTGTCTGGATCTGGCACGTTGAAGGTCGAAAGCACCATCTTTGGCTTCTCGACCCTAGGCCTTTCCACGTTGGTCGAGGCATGAGAGCGACGATCGAAGTCATCCTCCCTCTCCTCGTAATCGGGCCTCTACTATTCGTACTCCCGTGATCGTGCCCTAGCTCGACCTCGCGGCGGTGGTTGCCACACCAATCGCAAGATCTCATCGATCCTTTGGTTCATGGTGTCTATCATTGTTTGTTGTGAATTGTGGAATGACCTCTCGAGATGCGTGAAGTTGTTCGTCATGGACGTGTTGGTGGCTTCTAACCCCTCCCTATGGCTCGTCATCTTAGCCTCCAAATCCACAAGCTTTTCCTTGGTTTCTTTGGCCATTTTTTTTATAAGACTCGAAAATTAAATCAAAAGTTGGAAGGAAAAACACACGATTGATACTCTCAATGAAAACACCAATGATGAATAATCGCGTGTCCGGACTCGTGACTTGCCTCTGACTCGGCGTGGGCTTCGGTCCTTGGACGTGGGTGCGGATGATTTGGAGGTCAACTCCTTATCTTCTCGCGATAGGTGAGACAGCTCGGACGGATGTCCTTGCCAAACTCGTCTTACTCAAGCAATGCGGTGGACGTCCTTCCCGTGACAAGGGTTTTGCGATAAATATCAAGAGAAATCTAACACAAGGATTTGAACAAGAAGTTCGGTTTTTTCATTAATAATTCGATGATCAAAATAACAAGAGCATCCGCCTTTATATAGGCTTCAAATAAATCTACTCCTAATCAATCTAAATCACCTAATAAAGCAATAAATAATTACAGTCCTAAACTAAACATCATAAGCAATAAGGAAACTAAATATCTATAGGAGTCCTAAGTAGATCTAGTCTTGTGCATTAAGCAAGGGAACCCTAGCCGCCTTGGTCTTTTCATCGTGCGGCTTGCCGCATTCCTCGAGGACTAAGGTCTCGGTCCTCGTGCGTGTCATCCTTTCACGCGGCATCATCGCGCGGTCTGTCTCGGCGTGGCCTTCGCGTGCGTTGTCGCACCTATCCACGTGCTCGCATGCGTTGCGCTTCCCTCGCGCGCGTCTCGGGGGTCTTCTAGTGCGCGCTTCCCTCGCGCGCGTCGTCTCGCGCCATCAGCGACGCTTATCGCATTGGCCTACGCGGTCCGTCGAGCCAGCCTTTTGCGAGCGTGATAAGCCCGACTACCGGTGTTCTTCAGGGGCCATGCCATATCCTCATCACCACGCCCAGCAGGCCTCGCGCCAGCAGCGCCAGCAGCGGCAGCCCATCATTTTGAACCCGATTCTTGAATTTTCGGCCCACTTCTCCTTAGCCCAACTTCGTGCGTGTATTAAGGACTTAATTAGTGATAATTTCAGCTGAGTTTGCCCTAAACAAGTATTAAGGAAAGTCAACTAATGCTTAGCCAAAGTGGTTGATGGCCAAACTATTATTTTATTATGCCTGTGTAGAGCTTGTCCCCCCTTGCCTTTGTGGTCTGACCAGACCTTGTCCCCTGCCCATCATGCTCTGAAAACCCACTCTAATGGCTACCAAAAATCGTGCAAAGTGCAGCACCATCAGCCCAAGGCTAGGCCTTTCACCCATGCGCATGGAAGAGTGGGAAGGTCCACTTAATTTGTCTCTCACCATCCAACCTTGTTAGCTCCGCCCCAAACTCTTTATTAAAATCATTCCTCAATTGCATTTAAGCTCTTAGACCCTTTGTTGCTCGAGCAAATAGTGAGGGATTGTAAAAAATATCGAGAGCTTCCATACTTAGTACATGCGCGCGCGAGGAGCCCTAGGTGAAGGAGAAGTCGAGTTGCAGCCACCTCCAAGCAAGTTCTCTCGTGGCTTATCACTTTCCAAGTATTCCTTGGATCTTTATAAGCCTCTTGAGTTCATCCCTTGCAGCCAATAGCACCCATGTCGAACCCCTACACTCCGAAGGCCGTGAGAAAGCCCTAGCAAGACCCTAACACTCGTTATCCACTTTCAGTGAAGCCTAAGGAGAGTCGAGCCTCCGACCGCTACTTCAATTTCAAGCACTTGCGTCAGATTTTCAGTATTACCAGGTGTGGGCCCTGCACTGGGTATTACATTGCCTATAATCTTGTACCATTTATGAGGTATGTATGTAGATATACAGTTCTACCCGAACGGTCCAGTTTTTTTTTCCATTCGTGGTCCAGTTTATGTTGACTCCCAGTAGAGTCCCT